GAAGGACTTTCAAGCTGGACGGGATCAAGCGATAATGACGAGACCCAATTATATGTGAGGTTCCAGGCGTACCGTTGGCTTTTTCAGAAAGGCTGCTGCTGAGGTGAGATGTCTGAAACTGCTGTACGTTATCTATCTGTTTTTGTGATATTCAACAAATCCCTTACTCTTCCAGTTTTTTATTTGACGTTTTCCTTCATCCACTTCCATAATTTCACACATATTCTGTTCAAGTTTACTTCATTCGTGTTCTTTCGATCCTTGCATTATTCATTCATTCATTTTCAATTCACAGTGCTGCATTTGTTTCAGAGTGAGATTTTGTTACGGTTGTTATAATAATAATGCCCCGCGCAACCCTTTACTAAAGACATTTGTTTGCCCATCATTTTTACCTACCGTTTATAAATTTTTTTTGTAATGTTCAACTTATAAATCACCTACTAGTGCTTATAGCGTTTCCTCTCGTTGTTTGCATTGTTTCCTCATCATCATCACCGTACTACTTAAATTTCTTGAGTTCCTGAACCAGTGATGTGTACAGAAATGCAAATTTTTTGTATCTTTGGCACCGAGATTAATGATGTGTACAGTGAACGTGGAAGGTGTGAAGCCGCCGCTAAATTGGAGATTTTTTTTCGCCGAACGAACGCTGTCTCAGCCGTGAGTGAAAATTGCATTTATGGGAAACGGGCCATACAGTGATCGGAAGTGATGATGCATAAAGAAGTGACCATAGCGCTAGGGTGCTAGATCTCGGCGAATTTGTCCTTAGTGAATATTCACGCCTTCCCTAAGCATTTTTTTTTTTTTTTTGTTATTTTATATAAGTCTGTTTGTCCGAAATTTGAATTATACTTGCATGGTTAGTTTTCTTGATAAAAGTTTCTGTGAATTCAGAGGAAAAATGACAGCAACCGTAGCACACTCTCCTCGTCTATGGAAAACCCCTGGAAGCTGGTTTTCGTTGTGCAAAACACTGCTAATTCTTCCCGCCCTCCCCCTTTCTCAAATATAAGGATAAATGGCCAACGCACGGGCTGCCCGTGCGAAGATGCGTTTTTTGCAGAGTTCCCCGCAGT